AATGATCTACCTGATAAGGTGATTCTAAACAGTTTTTTTTTTCAGATTTGTTAAGGTGGCTATACTATAAACTTTCCATTAAATCTTTTCATATTTATTCCCCGCTGTCTTGCACTGACTTGCAGTATGTATTGGAGTTTTATTGTTTGATCCGAGCTTGCATATCATCATCATAGCTTGCCTCTTGCATCGGTTTTTGAAGATTTTAAACAATTTCAAATTTCATCAAAGTTCATTTTGTATTAAGGAGGCTCTTCTGAAAACTCTTGATTATAAATCGTGTTATACTCATCCGCCATCGAAAATGATTTCAACGAAGTTGCTTTGCCTTTAGGCTGTGATGYAATTATACAGTTACTATATCAATAAATTCATATTCAATTGACTGAATCGGCATTGACCCTCTAATTTCAGTAATTGCAATGTCAATTATTCAATTGGAAATRTTGACTCATAACTCTTCCAGCAGGGAGTTTTTTAGGTTACGGAACAACCTCGTACAGCATTTCTACMMGGAATGCAATGTTTATCCACTCAATTATGAAAACATTGGGGGCAGATAATGATTTCGCCGTTTGAAATAAGATAACACATTCGTTTAAAGATTGACTAGGTTCAAAGATTGCTTTATAAAGTGAATTTGGYTCATTTTTTCGTCGAGAGAATAGTTATGAATCTTATGAGAAAGTTTGTGGATAACTTCCTGTCCGATTCGTGCTTGTTATAATTGTCAAACTTCAATGTTAAGTATTTTTGATGTTTTGAAGTTGATGATAACAGCAAATTAAATTCACACCCTGTCAGAATCATTGAAGTCAGTTAGCTATGTTAATTCTGAGCACYGAAGRGACAAATTTCAAACAAAACTTCCGTARAACGTAAAAGTAAACTTACCATTACTTGAGCAAATTCCTTTCGTGGTATAGACGAAAGCACAGACGTGCTAAATGTGAGCGTTTACACATGAATGACGGAATTCACTTTACATAAATTGCATTGTTTTGTGAACAATAGATAATAGATTATGAAATCACAAATAACTTAGTTACCAAGCAACGTTCGTCACGCAATTTGCCAATTTATCATTTTCAAACATATACTACCGAATGTGATCAAAAATAAATAAATAAATAGATAGATGAATAAAAAGGTAAACAAAAACTTATACAAAGAGGAATTAAACCTACGATTAGAAAAAAAAAATGCAATGTTGTCTGATTTATTTTCMTATGTAATATGAAGACTTAATGGGTCAATTTGATTTTCCGCAAGAACTTAAAAACAATGGAATGGATGTCTTTAAGAGGGATGGTTCAAGCTGGTCCTCTGCCCAGCTTCTTAAAAGACCGCCATAACGGACCTCTTTGAGAAAAGACTAGGACCTCTTGTTTTCAAGGCTGGAAAGAAAAAACACAACGGCAGCGTAGCCTCCACCCAAGCAACTCTTATTACCTCATATGCACTTCCTTTGTATCGCTCATATAGTCCTAGGACTAGGAAAAACAACAATATTCTCTTAATCACCAAAAAATGACCGATTTTTGATAAAAATGCATGGACTATAGCCCACCAAAATGGCCAAAAGTAATCGATTTTTGATGAAAATGCATGGGCTATAGCCCACCAAAATGGGCAAAAATGACCGATTTTTGATGAAAATGCATGGACTATAGCACACCAAAATGGCCCAAAATGACCGATTTTTGATCAAAATGCATGGACTATAGCCCACCAAAATGGCCCAAAATGACCGATTTTTGATCAAAATGCATGGACTATAGCCCACCAAAATGGCCAAAAATGACCGATTTTTGATCAAAATGCATGGACTATAGCCCACCAAAATGGCCCAAAATGACCGATTTTTGATCAAAATGCATG